AAAATTTCAGTTTAATTTCAGGGATCAATTGAAAAATTCATTTTTAACATAATTTCAGAAAAATTTCAGACAAATTTCAACAAAATTTCAAAGAAATTTCAATTCAATTTCAGCGATTTTTTTAATATGTTTTTAATATGTAGCTGAAAGATATAATTTTAGTAAAATTTCAACAAATTCAACAATTTCACTAAAATATTCCAAAATGTGAAATAATTTCAGTGAAATTTTTTTACCAGGAATATCTTCATTAAAAATAAAAAAATCAAAATTTAAATTTATTATAAAAAAAAGTTCTTAAAACTTGAAATATATCTACTTTTGAATGATTACTATATTTTTACAATTTTATATACATTTTTTTTACAATTTTTTATACATATATGTCCCATTTTAATTTCCTCAGGCAAATATCTCGAAAAATATGAAACAATATAGAAAAATAAATTAATATAAAAGCTATGTGAGTCGATATGGTTAACAGTGCGCAAATTAAATTAAAATTATTTTATTATAAAAACCTTGATCACACATAAATAAATTTTAAAACATACGTTTCGATTCAATTTTGAATCATCAGCATGAACCTCTCATAACAATATTAAGAAACTAAATTATTATAATTTTGTATCAAATCAAACAGCATTGTTGCATCCAATGTTTTTTTTTCTAGTCACAATCGTGAAAGGAACGAGATCCATCCTTAGTACACTCAATTACTCAAGCTCAATGGAAAGGATGTATGTTGCATGTATCTTAACTATAATTATTATAAAAATTATTGAAATAACCATAGTTGCTTTTGCTATTAGTTACCAATTACTCACCTCCAACTATTGTAATCAAATGAACAGCAAATAATTAAAATTGTGCATTATTTTCCCACAAGTCAATCATTAAAAAATATAAAATTGTCATAAATAGAATTAAAATTAGAATTTTCGTCAAACGTTGACTAGAGTCAATTGATACTGAAAATATACATTATGTGTATTAAAACATCTATAAATCATACAGATAAACATCTAAACAGCGTACATGAAGTTAGAAATAATTAATCAAATCGTTGTAAAGTCACAAATAATTGACCGTTATAAATTTGATGTAAGCCTAAATCGTTGTAAATTTGATATAAGTCTTCTGTATCCATTTTCAAATTTAATTCATTTTTTTTACTTTTTATATGTATCATTTCTGAAATAAGTCTTTTACTTTATATTCTTTCTGCATCCAGAATCTTAATTTCATTTCAATTAAAATCATGATTGTGATGCATTCTAATCTGTAATGACAGAATGTGTTGTTGTTCTTCTACGTATATTAAAATGTTTTGATATTCTCGTTTTTAATTTCCTGCTAATTTGTCCAACGTAGGATGCATCACAATTCATACAATCAATTTTATATACAACATTTTTGTTTGTAAAATTGTCCATTAAATAAAACTTATGAGAGGAAACGAATTCTATATATAACAAAGAGAAATTTCATAGATAATCCTTATGTGATCTTCACAAAAGCTGACAAAGGCAATGCAACGGTAGCCTAATTCTTTGAACATTACGATTATAGTTGACAATGACAATATTAAATTTAATTGGTACCAAAAATCTTTATCGTTGGGGAGATTTTTAAGTTTTTGGTCCCAACATCCTGTTTCCCAAAAAAAGGTATAATTATAGGACTCACAGACAAAGCGTTTTTAAATTATTTCAGAAATAATACATATAAAAAATAAAAAAAATGGATTAAATTTGAAAATAGATACAGAAAACTTATATCAAATTTACAACGATTTAGTCAATTATTTATGTGCAACAATTTAATTATTTGTGATTTCATGTACGCGCTGTTTAGATGATTATCTGTATCACCTACATACGTTTTAACATAATGTACATTTTCAGTTGACTCTAGTCAACGTGACGAAAATTCTAATTTTAATTCTTTGTGACAATTTCATATATATTTTTTAATTTGACTTGTGGGAAAATAATGCACAATTTTAATTATTTGCTGTTCATTTGGTTACAATAGTTGAAGGCGAGTAATTGGTACACTAATAGCAAAATCAACTACGCTTATTACTTCAATAATTTTTGTAATAATTATAGTTAAGATACATGCAATCTTTTTTATTGAGCTTAGTAGCTGGTTGAGTGTACTAAGAATGGATCTCATTCCTCTCACGATTGTGACCAGAAAAAAAAACATTGGATGTAACAATACTGTTTGATTTGATACACAAAATTATAATAATTTAGCTTCTTAATATTATTATGAGAAGTTCACGCTGATGATTCAAAATTGAACCGAAACGTACGTTTTAAAATTTATTTATCTGTGATCAAGATTTTTTTGTAATAAAATAATTTTAATTTAATTTGCGCACTGTTAACCGTGTCGACTCACATAGCTTTTATATTAATTTATTTTTCTATATTGTTCCATATTTTTCGAGATATTTGCCTGGGGAAATTAAAATGGGACATCCTATATATAAAAAATTGAAAAAATAACCATTCAAAAGTAAATATTTCAAGTTTTAAAAACTTGTTTTTAAATTTAAATTTTGATTTTTCATTTTTTAACGAAGATATCCCTGGAATTTCACTGAAATTATTTTCCACGTTTTGGAACATTTGAGCGAAATTGTTGAAAATTTGCTGAAATTTCATTGAAATTATATCTTTCAGCTAACATACTAAAAAAATGTTTTCTTTCTACCAATTGATTCATCTCAATATTCTGTTCATAAAAATATTAAATTACGATTATCAAAAAATTAATAGTTAAACGAGATATTTTATGCCAACATGTGATGGAATATAGTATAAAATATCTCATAAACTATTGGTTTTTTATATATCTTAACTTTTATATGTAGAATAATTAAAGGAACTATATTATGTGAAAAAAAAATCATACAATTCCATATGAAGAATGTAACCTTCATATCTTTTTAACGCCTTCACCTAGAAGAAAGACAACATGACCAAAATAATTCCCCTTGAAACCATGCAACTTTTGTTTGGCATTTTTCCTTCTATTGTTAAAAACAAGCGAATTATTCAGGAAACCTGTTTTAAATGCCTTACCTTGTAATTTTGAGCTAACAAAATTCCGCAAAACTTTTTCTCCAATTATTTTGCCGCGTTCAGTGTGCAGGAACATTAGAGCATAACAAAGATGATGTAAATATTTGTTATTATTGAATGTTCATAATTTTTGTATTATCTGATTCTAGCGATACAACAACAGCTCCACACGAAGACGAAAACGGCTATGAAAAGAAAGGTCCAAGAAATTCAAAATAATTTTATAACAGAAAACAAAGCAACTGTGAAGCTAGATATCTAGTCTTGATCTATAATTAATTAGTGTCACAGGCGCATTGTTATTTTACTAACTGATAATCACGATGTATAAATCTCGATATATAAATTTACACTTTGGTATATAAATACGTAATCTAATTGCTCATATAAATGTTATTTCGATTGTGTTCTTCGACCAGCTATCGTCGAAAACTATTGTATCATTTTAGACATTCACGTTCCCATCTTTATTCTCTCTCTACATCGAAGAGATTTGTGTTATAGCAAATATATATATATATACAATATACTCAGGTACAGTAGTAGCATCTGGAGATTATCATTTAGTATCTAAAAGGATGAACAAATAGGCAGACAAGAGGAAAGAGAATTGAGAAACAGAATATATAAAATAGACAGACAAACAGAGAGAAACAGAGAGAGAGAGAGAGAGAGAGAGAGAGAGAACAAAGATCTTTTTCATCATATTTCGCAAGATCATTAATATTTAATTTTTTCAACTTGCTATGTCGAATTTATAGAATAATTTTGATTAAAATATACATCACAATGAGAGGAAGTTGTATACCGTCTATTTGATCAGCAGATATGTAGAAATTAACAGAAACGAATTAACGCACAATCCAGTAAAAACAAACGGATTATCCATTCATATTTGTGCAGAACATAAGCCGTGATAATTGAGACAAAGAAAGTGCGTCACGGAAAATGGTCTGTGAGGATAATAAAAACTACATTCCATATCTCTTTTTCGATCAATTGACGGATGATCGCTGTGTTTGATACATTGAATTTTTATAGCCATGACATAATCATAATAACTATTGGTCCGCTTGCTCGTTGGTTTCCTCATTGTCAGACGCTGATATCGATAGTGTCCTATCATGATTTGTGCAGGTCTCCATCTGGCATTTGCTCTCAGCAATCTCCAACCAATGTTGCTTATTTATACTGACTCCGTCAACGAGTGGCATAAGTTTGTCCGACAGATGGGCAAACGCCTGTCCAACATACATAGATAAGTTAGAAGTTTTATAAGAAGGAAGTAGGATGTATACGCCGATTCTAATTCTATGTATTAGTGCGTATACATATACGATGTGTGTGGTGCGCGCGCGCGCGCGCATGTGTGTGTGTGTGTGTGTATGAGGGATTCAGAGAAAGGGAAGTGCCTCACATACGTTGGGAAGAGGGAAGCGCGTCATCAGAGCCCATGAGAGAAGGGTTTGTTCTTTCTCTTTCTCACCTGTTGCATTATCTCTTTAACCTATCCTCTCTCTCCTATTCATTATAGGATGTAGTTCTCTCTTTCAGTCCTATACTTATTCTTTGCATTCATTTTTCCTCTCGTTGTACTCTCTCCTAGTTGTCTTTTCTTCTTGCACATAATTTAATTAAATAGATATGGTACTTGCGATATATTTTTAATGATATGACTTAGAAACTAATTATGATATTTTTATGAATTTTTATGAATTTTTAACAATATAGTAACACTAATTATGATAATATTTTTTTAATTATGATAATATTTTTTTTTAGTAATGTAGTACAAAATAATCAAGCGCGCTTTCTTATTGACTAATATTATTGCGAAGATATGAAGAAGAACAAGAAATGGCGAAGATACTACGGATAAAATAATTTTAGAAGAAAAGAATATATTTTTTAACATACATTTATTTATCATATAATACAGTATGTAGTAATATAATCTAAACCATAGACTATTAGTTCACATTCTATAATAGAATTTTTATCATAAATTTTGTACAAAATGTTTGCAGCATCGCTTTTATTAGTACAATTTTGTCTTAAAAATGACACAAAATATTCGAATTACTTACTAACACCGTACGTATATTGATTCAGTTTATAGAATATATGCTCAACACATTGCTCAAATTCAAATAAGAAAAGCATAATTGTTGGTTACAAACATGTGCATTAATTTAATGTTAATTTTACGTTATTCGTATATTTTAATAAATTCCATATTTAGATCTTGAATCGATGATGATAATAGGATTGTTGATTGTATTAATCGCTCGATATCTGTATGTTTTTCGATAAATGTTCTACGTAGGTATAGCAGGAGGTATGAACGGCGGTTGCCTTGATTATCGCCAATCGCAATTGCACATGAGATATAGATTCCACAACGATTCCAATGTCCAGGAACTTGTACGCTGTCGATGTCATGCATATTTCCTCATCAAGATACGAAGCATGTAGCGAGGTTTCGAAGATGTAATGCACTAGACGATGTTTGCGCTGTAGAAAAAAAGAAAACATGTAAATAGATCTTATAAAAATACATAATATGTATAATACGTATAAGCAAATATTTTAGAAAATTAAATAAACTTACTGTCTCTTGCACGTCTCATTCTGTTGAATTGGAACGTAATAGTTCATGACTTGAGATATTTTATTTTCTTGGAGAACGTATAATTAGCTATAGCTGTCTGAACTCTGTTGAAGCTCTCTGAATAATTGATGCGATAATGTTGTCTGGAGTTCTTTTTTTAAACAATGTTCCCTTCCACATTTTTTTTACACACCCTAAAATGGAGGGGATTTTTTTATATTATACTTTGAAGAACAGTTGCGTAGTCGAAGGATACAAAATGGACACATATCATAAGAATGCACGATATCGAATCTTTTTTATCTAAAGAATAGGCGCCAACGACAATAAAGTCTGCTTACTTCTATTCTCTTTTCAAAAAATGAATTTCGGGGCAGTGTATTTAGTATGAAATTTTATTTATCTTTAAAAATATATGAGTTTATTTTTAAATGTAATTACCATCAAATCTTTGTTAAACTATACAATATCACATATCACAAGAATGCACTTTGACGGTATCAGATTTTCTTTTTATCTTTGGGGATCGACAGTAAAGTCTCTGTTTCCATTCTCTTTTCAAAATATTTTTTTTTGACCTATCTTTACAATTACGATAAAAAAATCATCCTTTCGAAAACATGTTAAAACTTGTTGAAACATGTTCAAACATGTTAAAACGTGCAGCAAATTATCTTTCTATACTATAAAACGAAAAAATTTTCTTCTCTGGAAATTCGTTTTATCAGCAATCGAGCAACAGTTCAAAATAACAATGTGGATCAAACGGAACGTGATCTCTAGCGCAAGCCGTTCAATTGAATACGCGAGAAGAGTTTCTTGTGTGAAAACAGCGTTGTGATAATTTCGAATCGTTGAAGAAACAGAGTCATCGCGCAAACAGAAACATCGCGCTAAACGTCCGCGATTATCAACGATTAAACAATCGTTGATCTCGCGCGACTAGAAAATTTGAAAGACATGGTGCACGTTTTGTGTAAGTGAGTGCTGGGTACACCGCGATAGCGCGAGATCGATACAGCTTTCGAAAGCCATATATTGACCGGTGCTGTCATAAACTCTGAACACATCGAATCTCGCCAATTCCTCGAAGATGCGAAAGAGATAGTGCTTGAGCATTTGCAAAATATTATTCACAGACATGATAATAAGATAAAGTGTTTAATGATGAATTTATGTAGTGTTAAATGTGCAAATAAAAGTGTAAACGCGAGAAATTATGAACTCTTTCGTTCATCCGATTTACATGAGTACACGTCGCACATCATCGAGCTTGATATCGCAGGAGGAATTCCAGGAATGCGATAGTGGGTAGATGCTGTCACGTGAATTTAACAGTAAACATAAACAAGTACAATCCTCTGCATGTCACATCAAACTCCCGCGAGAAATTAAAATGAAGACAGCTGGTTAATGTGCAATTCCTAGGCAACGCGTGCTTCGCGTGGTCGGAGGTTGCCGCTCTACACCCTAAAAAAAATATGGAGCAAGAGTCACCGTATCCACATTACACAACTGTAGTGAATCTTTAAGACATTGTGTTCCCAATCCCAAAATTCGAAAATTTTAACAATATCTCTGCATATCGCATCGAAGAGCAAAAAGAAAAAAGAGGATTCTTTCGTTATGGCTTGATATGAACAATTATTGTACGTGCGGGATCCATAGAATGATAACGCGGGATACTTCGCGTGCTAAAGAATGTCCCGCCACGTGAACTCACAAATGGACACAAGAATATTTTTGCGATCGATATATAATATATACCAGGTGTATAAGCTTGAATCTGCTGTTTGCTCATAGGTAGCATTAGTGAGCGTACAAAGCTATCCTGGGCACACAACACACTTTTTTTTATGTGTTTCACATCTGTCAACATTAACCAGTGCACATCATCAGCAATTTCATACAAAAAAATACATTTTTTCTTTCGTAATCATCTCTAGTTTTTTTTTAGAAAAAAAGCATATGCGGGAAGCTTTGCTTTTCTGTTTCAATTTGAAGAAATCGGCTGCCGAATCGCATCGAATGCTTGTGGAGGCCTATGGCGACAATGCTTTATCGGAAACAACATGCAGAGATTGGTTTCGCCGATTCAATGACGACAATTTTGACTGAGTGACAAGAAGCGTGAAAATCGGCCCAGGAAAGGCTGCTTTGAGGATTATCAATTGCAGGCTCTTTCGGACGAGGACGATACCCAATCGCAAAAAATGCTTGCCGAGCAATTGGATGTTTCTCAAGCAGCCATTTCCATGGCTACATGCCATGGGGAAGGTTCAAAAGATCAGAAAATGGATGAACTGAACGATAAGCAGATGGAGCGACGCCAAAACACATGCCAAATTCTGCTTGCCAGACAAAAAAGAAAGTCGTTCCTGCATCGAATTGAGACAGGCGATGAAAAGTGGATCTATTTTCAGAATCCTAAACGCAAGAAATCTTGGGTTGATCCCAACCATCAACATCTTCTCAAGACCAAATCACTTCGAACGAAAGACGATGCTGTGTGTTTGGTGGGATCAGGAGGATGTCATCTACTACGAGCTGTTAAAACCTGGTGAAATTGTAAATGCTCATCGCTACCACCAACAACTGATCAAATTGCACCGTGCTTTGCGTAAAAAAAGGTCACATTATTTGAAAAGACATGACAAGCTGATTTTCCTTAACGATAACGCACCATCGCACACGTCAACAATGGTCCAAAACTACTTGAAGACACTCAACTGAGAAGTGCTACCCCATCCTGCTTACTCATCAGACCTGGCACCTTCTGACTATCACCTGTTTTCGTCGATAGGCTACACGCTCGCTGAGCGGTACTTCAATTCTTACGAAGACTTCCGAAAATGGCTTGATGATTTGCCTTGAAAGATGAGGAATTTTTTTGGCGTGGTATACACAAATTGCCCGAAAGATGGAAAAAATGTATAGTTAGCGAGGACAAGTACTTTGAATAAATTTGTTTTTGCTTCCGAGAAAAAAAAATGTGTTTTTCTGACTAAAAAAACAGCGGATTTAAGCTTATACACCCTGATATATATATATAC